AGTGCCATAATTCTGTAAAATTTGGTCGCAGCAAAAATTCCTTCCTTTACTACCATCTACACATTAAGGTTGTTCATCCCTGAAAGTTTAAGCAAAATCTGCCATCCGGTTTAAGAGGAGTTGCGTTCACAAAATTTCTTTATGGTATATAGTGAAAAAATTAACAAAGGGCCATAATTCTCTTAAATTTGATCGCAGCAAAAATACCTTCCTTTACTATAATCTACACATTAAGGTTGTTCTTCCCTGTAAGTTTAAGCAAAATCTGCCATCCGGTTTAAGAGGAGTTGCGTTCACAAAATTTCTTTATGGTATATAGTGAAAAAATTAACAAAGGGCCATAATTCTCTTAAATTTGATCGCCGGCAAAAATTCCTTCCTTTACTGCCATCTACACATTAAGGTTGTTCTTCCCTGTAAGTTTAAGCAAAATCTGCCATCCGGTTTAAGAGGAGTTGCGTTCACAAAATTTCTACATAGTATATAGTGAAAAAATCAACAAAGGGCCATAATTCTGTTAAATTTGGTCGCAGCGAAAATTCCTTCCTTTACTACCATCTACACATTAAGGTTGTTCATCCCTAGAAGTTTAAGCAAAATCTGCCATCCGGTTTAAGAGGAGTTGCGTTCACAAGATTTCGGGACGTACGGACAGACGTACGGACGGACAGACGACGGACAAGTGCAACGCTATATGCTCCCACTTTGTGGGGGCATAAAAAAAAAAATCAACTTTAATGTAAGAAAAATTATTTAGTAAATGCCAGATTCAATCTAGTAACTTAATAAATGTCAAAGTAATAAAAAAAAAGTCCTTATTGTGTTTAGTCCCTCAGCAGAAATATAATATGTATGGTGAAGTCATTCATTGCATTATCATATAAACTAATACTTGAATGTTAATTTTTTTTTTTAATCTTAGTACTTTTATCTTAAGGATAATTTTCTAGAAATTTTGAGGCTTATCCGAGGACATACAGCTTTAACTCTAAGCATGGATTTTGGATCTTTGTTAACACAGAGAATTTTCTGATTGAAGTTTTTAGTATGCAAGCCAACATCAATCTTCAACACTATATTGAAGGTATCCTTGAAATTTGATACAATTCATGTTTCCAAGATTATAAATGGAAGTCACTGTAAAGGCCCATAACGCTTGGCATTGATTTTGGATGAAATATAGCCCATTTTAAACTTTTAACATTCTTTTGCTCATAACTATGTCATGGATTTTTCAAAATTAAAGTTACCAATTTTGTTAAATGAAACTGACTGAATACAGCCTTTGAAAGTGCTATCCTCTTGAATATCAATGCAATTATCTTAAATTACTGCGTAAGACATAATTATAATAATAAGGTATTCACTGGTCAGCTGTCTGTAGTACCCCTGGATTCTTTTTGTTTAAATAACAATTGAAGCAAAATGTAAATTTCATGTAAATGTAAGCTTTTCAGAATTAACTTTTTTCAGAGCTTAAAATATATATTGCACAGCATTTATTGTTATATAATATTATATAAAATTAAAAATAATGTATAAATAAATAAATTTATTCAGTCTTGCAAGCCTATACAATAAAATGTGTACCAGGTCTTGCCATTACAAACAAAGCATAACAAAATCAAATATGCTCAAATATGCTAAAATGTGAGGTCTTATACCAGAATGAACTTAGCAAAGTTGTTCATTGGATATCAGGAATTTCAGTTAGATTGGGAACTTTTTTTTTAAACATTGGGAAAATTAAGTATTGGGAATGGGTCTGATTAAAGTGATTATCTGACCTATAGGGACACTGGGAAAGGCCTGTCTCTGGCCAACCTGGTCCTATTTTTATCATTATCTATTTACGTTTCAGTGACACTTTTTCTTCGTTAACTTTTTCCATTCAGGGCTGTTGAGGACAGCTGACTTAGGAGCAGTACATGACTGTGAAGTAAGACAAAACACAAATAAGTCTTACAATATTTTCAAAGTTACAGGTTAACAAAAAATACTTTGTTACTTTTATCTCGCTATCAGTAAACAAATGACAGTACCCACAAAGACATAAATTCATTTCTATGCATTTAGAAAGATGTACTCACAAAAAAACTTTGATTCACATCAAATAAAAACATGAAAGAGACCAAACAATAAAATTAAGGTGTTTTTTTTTTCAGATTTGAATATACACATATTTTTATTTTCTATGTGAACATTCATCAATTAGAATACAGTAAACTTCACTTATAGCAAACACGGTTATAGCGAACTTCCGGTTATAAGGAACAATTTATTTTGGCCCGAATTTTGCCCTTCTTTATTTAATATAAAAATATATGGTTATAGCGAACACGGTTATAAGGAATTATCGCTTATAAGGAACTCATTTTTTAGTCCCAATTTAGTTAAAAGTACAGAAAATTACACTTTTATAACGAACTCCAAAATATCGGCTATCCGTAAATAGATCCCGCATTTTCAACTTTCATTTTCATTGGCACGGATTAAAACTCAGCCGAATGTACCGTGCATGAAAATGAATTTGTATAGTAGTACGTAATTTTCTATTAAGGATATTTTTTGCATGGGTTCTTGTCACCAAGATAAAACGGTTACAAAATGTATTCTTTTTAATCTATTATTTCTTTTCTTTAATAGTTTTGCTCGAGTAAAAAAATCATGATCATTTATAATCGGTTTGCAACATAATCACGAATGCTTGCTAATCCATTGAAAACTACAAAATAAGCTTGATTGAAATGAAAAGAAATTTTCATTTGTAAAAGTCACCCTTAAAATATAATAGAAGATATTCAATTTAAAAAGGAAGGAAAACTCGAAAATCGTGTTTGTTCTTAATCATGGAAAGAAAACGGAAAACAATGAGTTTAGAACAAAATATGATATTTTATGGGCAAATGAGAAGAGGTGTAAAACTAAAAATGAAATAGCAAAGGATTTTCAAATATATGACTATTTTTACTTAATCAAATGCTCTTAAAAATGGAGGACGATGGTAAACAATCAGTTCGTTATATGTAAATCCGTTCGCTTTAAAAACTCCTGATACAAGGAACTAATTCGCTATATGCTTACAAGGAACTCCGGATATAAGGAACAAATTTTGAATGTCCCAATGAGTTCGTTATAAGCGGAGTTTACTGTATTCATTTTTGATCCAAATTTACTGGGAAATGGTTATTTTCATGGGAGGGCTTTTGTCCGAGTTGTCATTTTCATGGGAGGGCTTTTGTTCACCCTGTTATTTTTACGGGAGGGCTTTTGTCCGCCATGTTATTTTTGGACGGGAGGGCTTTTGATCGGGAGGGCTTTTGTCCTACGCTTTTGATCCGAAGGGCTTTTGTCCTACACTCAAATTTACTAATTCTAGGGCTGAATTGACATATTTTGGTTCGGATTGATCAACTAGAAATAATGTTGAGCCGGATTGATTAATTATGAGGCTGGATTGACTTGGTGCCGGGTTGACTGTTATTCATGGCAACTATGTCATTAGCGATTTTGTCCATCTTGCAGAACCTAGAAGCTCTTATATATATATCTATTAGATATATATGTAGTTCTCTAGATATGACCAGCTTTCAGATATTTTTACTTTAACCACCATTAACTATAACACGGATTTATATTACAAGGAACAGATACTATCGTTTAGCTTAAAATCTCGTCGTGCGCATGCGCGTAATCGCACATCGGATATAGGTGGACAGAATGAGAGATGGTGGAACACGCAGAGTGCAAAATATGACAGATTTTCACAAGAGTATGTGGTGTTATTGCTGCTTTGTGAAAAATTATACACATATAAATGTATTGATAAAGTATTATTTTGTGCCGCAAAAGTATTAATATATGAAAATATGCCGATAGAAGGCTGCAACGCTTAGTTAACAAATACCTTGAATTAAAAAAATATTCACCTATTGTTTATGCATACTCTCTACACTTTGACACCCTTTTACTTCAAGCACAAATTATTACTGCAATTCAGATTAAGATAATTATTTTTTACATGGTTTAATGGTTGCATTGCACAAAAATGTTTCTTGATTGCTAATTAATAAAAACTTTTAAAGAAATTGATGTTTGAAATTTGTCTTTATTTCTGTGAATTATTTTATATTATAAGTTAATTTCTTTCAAGTTAATCGTCTTTGCGGACAGATAGTCTGTATCTTTAAAAACTAAATTAGATATTTGAATTAAACACGCATTTTTCTTGAAAATAAACTTTAAATTAAATTAATCAGATAATAAATGGAAAAGCTATATGGTATTTTGTAAAGTAGGTATCCGTTGCGAACGGCATTTTCGCTTAGCGCCGATAAATTATCGATCTATGTACCTTTATTGGTGCACGACAAGATATTTAAGCATTTATATAGGGTTAACGGGGAGTGTCCGATCCATGTAAAATGAATCCGTGACTATAACAAGCCCGTAACATCTAATAGATTGGACTATTAATTATGAATGATCAACTTGACTTTTTAACAGATTCTCAGTCAGATCAATAAAAGAAAGAATTAATGTCCAGAGCATTTTAAGATTCTGTCCACGTCAAAATCTATATTTCATAATCCTCTAACCTAACTAAATATTACACTAACCCTTGAAGAAATCTAAGTAGATATTGAAGAAATTATATGCCATAATGTGTAAAATGTTAAATGAAATATATACTATCTACCAACATATGCTTAAGTCTAGCCAGATTAATTAACATAAGTTAACTACTTGAATCAAACAAAGTTGATTAGAAATATCCTTGGCTGCCAAAGCAATACAAGTTACTTACTTCGATCATGGAGATCTGTTAAAATTTTAATGACCGAAATTGTTCTATCCGAAGTTAGATATATATTATCATAATTCATTAATTTAACAACATTATGACACGTTATTTTTGTGAGAAAATAAGCAAATGGGTTGAAAAAATAAGCAGAAAATTAAATAATAATAATAATGATAACATAACTAAGTCAACATACCATCTTTTTGCAAACACATCTATCCAATATCCAGGCCGTTACACTACGGTAAGTACTTTATGACCGTGACATTGCTTGTTTGATATGTTATTTCCAGTAGAGTATCCGATACGTGCTATTGTATGGTATGTGAAATCGCCACTTCACAGAATCCTTTTCACAGATTAGCATACGTAAATATTTAAATAAAAATATTTATATGTCTTTTCCTTATCAAAGAAATGATGAAAAACCTAAAATCTAGTTTTTCCTTGCTAACATGTGGCCTTTCACCTAATTTTGGTAAAAAAGTTGTTGTTTTGTAACATATTTAATTTTTTTAGTTTTTAATTAAATCATGCAGGTATATATATTAATATACGTACCTGATTAAATTGGTTAACTTTTGAATATAGATGCACGTAACATACAGAATTATTAGTATTTAGATCTATACAAGGATTGACTCCTTCCTATATTACAGATATCATAGTATTCTCGAAAAATGAAACGTAGTTATAAGCTTTTAAAAATCAACTACGAATAGAAACATACTAATAATACATGTAAGATCTAATACAAAATATGTTAAAAGAATTTTTAAAAATAATGCAATGCAAGTATGGAATAATTTACCTTTATATGTCAATTATTAAAGAGTCTTCGTCTCTATACTGCTTAAATAAGAAATATGAAAAAATATTTACTTGATATACAATTTAAATGAGTCTGATGTATGCACGTGTCTGTCAATTTGTTGTTTAAGTTTTTGATATGTGTATACATATTTGTGAATTTCATTATCTTGTTTAATTTAAGGCCATATTGTAAATAAGATATATGTATAAATTTCTTAATATATGTTACCTTCATGAAATAAAGCGTTTATCATTACTATTATAGTTTCTGCAAACACGTGGAAATATCCCCCTAGCAGATTTAATTTAATTCTTTTATAATGTCAAAAGAATGAAATGCATTATTATGTGAAATTTGTTTCCCGCATGCATAACTGTTACATCTGCATCGATAAACTCTGAATGGGCGGATTTTTTCGTCTTCACAAGGACTATTTTCTTATTTAGGTTATTTTAGGAATATACAAATCGAACAAGCATTATATATATCGCTTATCAAAATTCATACGCATTGGTCTCCCTTTTCTTCGCTTTTCATTAACCTGAACATCCTTATCCTAACAAGGTAGCCCTTTAATAATCCAATTTGATTTTGAATGTGTATGTTAAACCTTAAGAAATGAACACTATAATCAACAAGAAGGCCACGATGGTCTTTATATCGCTCACCTGATTATTAATTATGTAATAGCGAGCTCGACGAGCAGGCCCGAAGGGCCTGCTCGCAAAGCGAGCTTTACGGTAACGCGAGTACCTGCAAAGTGATGGTTTTGAAAACTTTCGTCCAAAGTACCGAATTCGACACATCGCAACTTTTCGAATTGCAAGAAAACGATAAAGACTGAGGAGTTCTGACTGAAAACGGATGTGTAGACTGACTGGTCACCCGCACACTTCTAAGGAAATCATAATTGGACAGGGTACCAGAATAACGGAAGCTACGTAAAATATCGAAAAATGAAAATT